AGGAGTAAGCTCTTTTCTTGAAGGTCCCTAAGTCGTATCGGTCCGGAAAAATCGCTGGTGGTAAACTATTCCACAAGGAAGTTGTGCGAGGAAGAAAACATCTTCTAAATCGCACAGTGGTGGACCGCCAATCATCCAGATGGTGTGGATGGTATCGGGAGTTCTGCCGCGATGTGCGTTCGTGAAATTTGGCGGCTGGGATTAATCCGAACAATTCCTCAGAGCACTCCCCATGGTAAATGCGAAAGAAAATGCTAAGAGATGCAACATCTCTTCGCAGTGCCAATGAGTCGAGCCGATCGGAAAGGACTCGGTCGTCGACGATTCGAGCCGCTCTGCGCTGGATGCGGTCAAGTGGAAGAAGCTGGCACTGGGGAGCCCCAGCCCAGAGATGGGAACAGTATTCCATGTGAGGCCGAACCTGCGCCTTGTAAAGTTGCAGGCGTTGAGCCGGCATGAAATACTGTCCCGCTCTGCTGAGCACGCCAAGCTTTTTAGAGGCCAATTTGGCCTTCTCTTCCAAGTGACCACGAAACTGCACGCTACTCGATATGTCGACGCCAAGGATTCCGATACTGGCTGAGGCAACAAGGGGAGTACCTTGAAACTGAGGAGATACGACAAAGGGGTTCTTTTTAGCGGTAAACGCGCAAACTTGTGTCTTCTGAGGATTAAACTGGACTAGATTTAGTCGCCCCCAATCCGAGACTTTGTCCAGCAAAGACTCGACTTCAGACACAAGTTTGTTCCGGTACTCGGTGACGTTTTCCCGAGAAATATTGGCACGGCCGGTGTATAGAGCATCACCAGTGCTGTCATCTGCATAGCAATGAATGCTACCAGCTTGCAACATATCATTGATATGCAGAAGAAACAGCGTTGGTGATAGCACGCAGCCTTGTGGAACACCAGCGTTAATAGGCTTGTAGTCGGAGCATGCACCGTCTACAACGACCTTGATGCTCCGATCTGCAAGAAAGCTGGTGATCCAATTGCATAATTTCTCGGGAAGCCCATAGGAAGGGAGCTTCGAAAGAAGCGCTTTGTGCCAAACCCGATCGAAGGCCTTCGCAATGTCCAAACTAACGGCCAATGCCTCCCCCTTGGACTCTACTGCCAACGCCCATCAATGAGTTAAGTAGACCAGAAGATCACCAGCTGATCGACCCCGACGAAAACCGTACTGGCGGTCACTAATCAGCTGGTGATCCTCAAGGTAACGCATGAGGTGGCAGTTTACAACGGATTCCATTATTTTGGAGAACAAGGGGGTGATGGCGATAGGCCTGTATTTGGACGGATCTGAGCGGTCGCCTTTTTTAGGGATCGGGTGGACAAAAGCTGTCTTCCATGATTTCGGGACTACGCCTAGGGAGTAGGAGTACCGGAAAAGACGCGTTAGAACCGGTGCCAACTCCGGAGCACACGTCCTCAGCACAATTGGGGGGATTCCGTCAGGCCCACTCGACTTGTGGATGTCAAGGGAGAGGAGTGCTCTGCGAACCGAGCGCTGTGAGAATCGCACATCCGGCATGGAGCACTCACACCGCGGGATGGTCGGCGGTGTGTTCCCCCCGTCATGAACAGTCGAGTTGGACGCAAAAAGGGAGCCTAAAAGGCCGGCCTTCTCTTTTGCGTCGTGGGCCAATGAGTCGTCCTCCCTGTGCAGAGATGGTAGTGATGGCTTACAGAAATTCCCTTGGACAGCCTTGGCGAGAGACCAGAATGCACGGGTTCCCGAAGGAAGGCGAACTAGTTTCTCGCCAATTCTGCCTATGTGCTCTGACTTTGCCTTGGCAATAACTCTTTTGAAGGACCTGGAGGCGAAGTTGTACTTCTTTTTGAGTGTGCTGGTGTTTACATCCCGAGTCACCGAAGCCGCAGCCCAGGCTTGATAACACTCCTGCTTACTGCGTAATGCAGTCTTACAGGAGCGACCAAACCAAGGCTGAGATCTGCCTCCGATGGGTACCACAGATGATGGAATAAATAGTTCCATTCCCTGTAGCACTACATCAGTGACAGAGTCAGCAACAGCGCTGGAATCATCCGGCGAGAAGCAAACCCGCCCCCATGGGTAGGAAGCAAAGAAAGACCGCATTCCGTCCCAATCCGCCGACCTGTAATGCCAAACACGGCGGCAACCTGCAGAACGCAACCGCGAAGGGAGCGTGAGTGGCACCACACTCCGGATCAGACAATGGTCCGAAGAGCCAAGAGGGGCATCGACGGAAACCTGATATCCGTCCGGATGAGAGGTCAGCAGAAGGTCCAACAGGGAAGGTGTATGATCCTCAACATCTGGAATCCGCGTAGGCGATGTAACCAGTTGTGTCAGACCATATGCCAAGGCAAAGTCATAAACAGATCTCCCCGCATGATCGGTTAAACGTGAACCGAGCCATTCGGCGTGGTGGGCGTTAAAATCGCCAAGGATCACGATCTCTGCGGATGGGACCTGTTGTAGCAAGGAATCTGTAGCCATTTGGACGTGGTTGATGAGTCGGTCTGTTTCGGCATTACCGCTATGGGACCTATAGAGGCACACGTAGACGCGCGGATGGTCGTCGCTGTCTACGCGTAGCCAAAGGATGGACAGGTCCGAACCTTCAAGACTGCCGAGGCGTCGAGAACAGATGTCCTCTCTGACATACACGCAAACTCCAGCCCGAGGCACAAAGGAGTGCTCCAATTTGTACCCCGGGTAGGAGAGATACGAAGTATCAGCCGGAGAGGACACCTGCGTCTCGGTCAGAAAGAGCAAGGCCGGCTTCGCCGTCTCAAGATGGTAGTGGACGGCGTTTAGGTTCGAGTGAAGTCCCCTGATGTTGCAGAAATTCACGGATAGCGTGGCAGGGGTCGCCTTGGTCTTGTTGCTCAGTTTGCCCCGAGCAGTTATTGTGTTGAGCGGAATTTTGCCCCCCCCAGAATACGCGGGGCAGCCTGAGCACCCACGCTCAGGAGTGGAATAGCATGGTCGTGGATGCTCAGCGAGGGATTCTCCAGGGGTACTGGTACCCTCCTGGGGTAGTTTTTGACGTAATTCCGCTACCATGTTGATGGGGGGGGGGGGGGGAATTGGGCATCCGGTCACCTGCACTCACCAGACGAAACGCGGAAGCAGAGCTTCCACTTCACGCCGGTATTCTGTGAGGTCGTGGTACTAACCCGGCTCGAGCCGGCCCATACGTGCAACAGCAAAAGCTGCTGCAAGGCTCTACCACCGTTCTGTTTCTCTGTTTAATCACGAGTAATTGAATGCCCTCATTGATACGAGAGGATCAATGAATATTGAGAGCGCAATAATTTCCGTCTGCTACACACAGTGGATTTTAAAAGGTATTCTGTATTTCAATTTCTGATTTTTTAATACGACTTATTTTGGATACATTTGTAGATATGCTGAAATGAAAATGATCTCGTTCACCAAGGTTTGCCTGGAAGACATCGCTGTTTAGCGATAAGGCCACCTATGTGTACATACACATATATATATACATATACAATGCCACATTGATGTTTGGTAAGTGTTTTAGTAATATTTGTTTTAGTATAAGAGTATTAAAGTTGAAAAGATTCTGCTTTGCAGACATGAAGGTTTACATACGATATTATGTTTTATCGCTTGCCATAAGTCAGCAATGTGCTGCCTGTTTCTAGCACTGAGACGTACATAGGCCGTTACTCTATTTTCTGCCGACTCCAAAAAAGGAGACGGTACTCAATTCGATTGTATTTTTTTGTTTTTCTTTTTTATGTATGAATCTTTCCGTAGGTGGAAATTAATCTAGGCTGCTTGATGTATGCCTTTGTACTTTGCATTTTTGAAATTGAATGCATTGCTTCGCCCAGTTGCCAACATCCACTTGTATTGAAGGCCAAAAGAATTTTCCAGTGATGAGTTTTCTGGTTGCTCTATCACCTGGATGACTGATGTTGTGCAGTGCATTGAAAACTTCGCGACAACATTCTTCTGGTAGGTATGGACGCATGGTTGATATTGAAGCTTTACAGTAGATAGGTAGGTGCGTCATTCGCATTGTAACTTGCTTGATGGACAAGTTACTTTGCTTCGATAGATGTTTGATGTTGTCGCTATCTCTGTCTTGTGCTTCGGCGATCTTGTAATAGTCGATTGATGTAGGGCACGTTACATTGTCGATTGGTATGCGACTGAGTGCGTCGGCGACTATGTTGTCCTTCCCACTGATATGACGTATGTCGGTCGTGAATTCACTTATGAAAATGAGTTGTCTTGCTCCTCGTGGTGTTTCCGGTGGTGATGGTTTCTTCTGAAGTACATATGTTAATGGTTTGTGGTCGGTAAAAACGATCAGGTTTTGACCCACAAACGTTTTTCTGAAGTGATTGATAGCTATGTAGATAGCGAGTAGCTCTCAGTCGAATGCACTGTAGTTATGTTGAGTGTCGGAGAATTTCTTCGAAAAATAGCCAAGTAGTTGCCATTTCCCATTGATGTATTGTTGGAGTAGAGCTCCTGCTGAGAGATCGGACGCGTCGCTGAATATAGCAAGGGTTGCTTCGTGTGATGGGTGAGCGAGCAAAGCTGCATTTTGGATCGCAACTTTACAAGCTTCAAATGCCTTCGTGGCTTCATCGTTCCATCCGATTAACATTTTATCTTTTTTCTTCGTGTTATGTAGGTAAGCGTGAAGTGTTGCTTGGACTTCAGCGGCTTTAGGTATGTGTTCTCTATAAAAATTAACCATCCCAAGAAAACGCCTTAGTTCTTCAATTGTATTAGGTTTCACATAATCGATGATTGCTCTGATTTTTTCAGTAGGCGGTTTGATTCCTTCCTTGCTGACGGTGAAACCAAGAAATTGAACTTCTTGTTGTCCAAATACGCATTTCGAAGGGTTGATTGTGATTCCATTGTCTTCTGATCGCTGTAGCAAGGTGCGTAGATGGGTTTCGTGCCTTTCTTTATCAGGGCTTGCAACAAGGAGATCATCAATGAATGCGAAAATGAAATCCAGTCAATCAAGTACTTCGTGTATGAATCTTTGAAAGGTTTGACCAGCGTTCTTCAGTCCTGGGGTCATTCTTAGAAATTCGAATAATCCCATTGGGGTAATTATTGCTGTCTTCTCTATGTCTTCGTCGCGCACTTTTATTTGTTCGTAAGCTCGTTTGAGATCTATAGTGGAGAATGTAGTCTTGTCTGACAGTTTATGAGTGAAATACTTGACCCGCGGTATTGGGTAGCGGTCAGGAGTGGTAATAGAATTCAGTCTTCTGTAATCTTCACAAACTCGTAATTCTCCATTCTTCTTCGGTACAACGTGAAGTGGTGATGACCAAAGGGTTTTGCTTGGACGGCATATTCCTTGCTCGATCATGTTTCCGAATTCCTTTCGAACTTGCTCGTATCGGTGTGGTGCGATTGGACATGCACGGCAATGAAGTGGTGGTCCATTGGTTTCGATGAAATGTTCAACGTCGTGCTTTGGTGTTAATTTCATTGAAGTTATTCTTGTGATTCCAGGATATTCTTCAAGGATCTTGTGATACGATTGTTGAATACCTATGCTTCTTATTGTGGGCAGATTGGTTGCTTGGACGAAAGACTGAGATGCAAGATTGGTTTTCCCGTCGATGATTCTTCTATTTTTGATGTCGACGATCAACCGGTGATGTTGAAGAAAATCAGCACCGATGATTGGTTTGCTGACTTTAGCGACGATAAATCTCCACTTGAATGGTCGGCGTAGGTTTAAATCTAGTTCCATTGTTTTTTCTCCATATGTAGGAATCACCGTATTGTTTGCTGCGCAGAGTTGAAAATCCAGTGGCTTCATCTTCTGTCTTTGTGTCGGCGGTAAAACTGAGATATCCGCTTCGGTGTCGATAAGGACGGTAAGCTTGCTTTTTTTATTGGTGACGAAAAGACGTTAGGACTTTTCTGTTACACAGGATTCCGTTGCATCAAGCGTATTAGTTAGTTTTCCGACTTCATATTTTCATTTTTGAATGTACACGGTGTTGTGCATTTTCTTGCCACGGACCCGAAACATCGATGATAGTAGCAGTAAGGGGATCTTGTTCTTGAGCTTGTTCGACTTCTACTTGCAGAGCGGTTACGACGAAAAGGTGATCTTCGGTGTTGCTGATTGCGCTGGTTATACCGTTGTTGGTAACAGGTTTGATGCTGGGAAGATTTGAGCGCGGCGACTTCGAATGATAACTTCCGAATTTCTTCGAGAAGAAACTGGCCTTGGTTGAAGTGCCTTCGATCATCTATATGTGTGAGCTACTGCTGTTTTCAATCATCTTGTCCTCCAGGAGTGCCAGTCCGTCGAGCTTCGTCTGCGTGCTGAATGTTTCACTCACTGCTAGTACCGATCGAACATGTGGTGGTAGGTGGTTTACCCACATTAGCCGTAGCGTCGAATCTAGGACTTTATCTCGCGCCAAAATACGCATTCTACGTAGGTCTCCAAGTTCTATTTCTGAAGAAAGTTTCTGTAGCTGGCGACTGTCGGATTCTTCATATACAGAGATCAGACGATCCTTCAGCGAATTATACTGGTCGCTTGCTCGTGGGTTGTACAAAAGGTCCGAAAGGAGATGAACTTGATTCCATACAAGCTTGGTCCCAGCGTGAACAAAGTTGAAATAAATTTTGTTTTAAAGATTTAAACATTTGCTACTTACGGCAAAAAATCATATTTTAGTAAGACTTGGGGTTTTGTTTTTATTATGGTTTATTATTTGTAGGTTATGTAGTAAAATCACTCGTTCTTGGAATAAGTTGTTTCAATAAATTGAGAGGACACGAAAGGATGCAGTTTTATAGTTATTATTAAATAAAATACAACTCAAACTTTTTAATTATTTAATTATTTTCTGCAATTATTAATAAAATGTCATCTCGAAAAGCAGCCTGAGGCTGTATATTGTCTGTTCTATTCCTCTCAAAACCCAAGTAACACATTATTGTCATTATTTGGGCGCCACAATCTACTGTCCTGTAAATCAAGAGAAAAGCCAAGGGTCAAATTAAATTAATTACCACGAAAATAAAGATACTAAATATATCTACGAACACAACCACAATGCCAAATGCGTATGACAAATTTAAACTCGAAGTTACCATTTACCAAGTCTCCTTCGAAACATGCAATGATAAACGACCATACAGCCTATTCAATTGTGTCCGATATTATTAAAATATTTTGTTTAGTTTAATAACGTAGCCTATTCAATCGATTTTCTAAAAAGATTTCTTTTGTTCAGTATTATTCTCTACAGATTCACCTCAACGTTTCATATTATGAGTTTTTTTTGATACTGAAGGCTATTTATTACAAAAAATAGCCTTCATTATCTAATGCCATAGACAAAATACATAAAATTATTTAAAAACGTTTTGTTTTTGCTATAGCAAAAGCCTTAGTTTTTGTTTTTCCAGTTTTAAAAAATGTTTTTATAATTGTCCCATATACTACAGATATAAAAACCATTTAATTATACTCATAATTTATCTTTATATTACGTACATATCTTTATATAACTGTTACGAACGATGTTAAGAACCCAATTTCATACATCTCCTTTGTTCGATGTCTTCTTTTCAAGTTGGGCGATCAACATCTGTGCTACTTGCGCTTGACTCTTCTTTAAATCATTCGTCGCGGCTTCAAAACTGACGAACCAAAGTCGGGGTTTATCTCTCCAAAACGGTGATATTCTCAGCGATAGAGATATACTGGCGATTTCTTGTTCCTTGGCCGGGTTTGATGTATATGCGTCGGATTTCTTCGCTTCTCGCTCGATTACACTGATTTTATATACTGAAATCTTCCTTGATATTTTTCCTACAATTTTTTTTATAGGATCGGGTGACAAACTAGCACACAGTCCACCTGATGTTAAGTGGCTACTGCGACCCATAGACATCCACATCTATCTCAATAAAGACTCAAGATGCACGCGTGAGGACTAAGATGGAATGCCTCTTTGCTAGTAAAAAGGGTCTCCGGTTCTCTACACTCACCATACGAAACACAGCAGCGTTAAGCTGCTATATTACGCTGGTTTTCTGTGAGAGCGTGGTCCTTCCCCGGTAGAGCCGATCCATTCGTGCTACAACCATAATATAGCTGCAGCATGGCTCTACCACGTACTATTCTTGCAGGGATCTTCATTATCGGTGTTCATAACGGGGTCACCAATGTAATAGTGGTTTATGGTGTCCACTATTAACAGACTCCGAGTGGTCTAGGAGCGGAGAAATAAAACTATTTTTCTGATATGCCTTACTATGCGCAGGCGAATAGAGTATGGAGTATATTTTATCCAACTAACCCTGCCTATATTTATATTCCCGGCTACGTCCTTAGTTTACCAATAGTAATAATTTATTATTTACTTAGTCAATTACAATTCCTACATTTTGACCAATAAAGATTAATAAAATATTATTTACAACTATTATGTGTCGCGCTCCATTTGCCGGCGTTAGACTTGTGGATCGCTTCTCGTAGATGCGTTGCTCGGCGCGTAATCGGCGAGCGGCGGCGGCGTGGGACACATCTCCGGAACAGCAAGAAGAAGCGAAGCTGCGGCGTTGAGGAAACGGCTCGAAAATGGTCGACGGATGCGTGAAGATACCTAGCGTGTGAAGACGATGTGGTGCTGATGATATTTGTGGCTGCTTCTTGTTTCTATATTAAAACGTTAAATATATATACGGCAAATTATCTCGCATCGATATGCAGCCCGCAGTATCTCAGTAGCCGTGGGTAGTTAGGAAATAAATGTTTTCTTTAGACCTTCACCTTTTGCGTTATAGTAGCAGCAGGGTAACATTATTTATAACGGTTTAAGGTTGATTAGCCTGGCTGCTACATAACTTGTGAAGATTGCAGACAGTATCTGCTCGGGAGCGAATGAATGGGGTACTTGAGGACTATGACGAAGGTTTTAAAATTGTAGTTGCCGAAGGTTGTTGGTTGCGTGTTCATATCACGTCGGGTGGTCACCACTGTGGCGGGTGGAAGGAAAATGTGGAGATCTCCCGCCGGGCAAGGTTTTCTGCCGGGGGAGCGGCCAACGCTCAGATTGGTAGTTCGGAGCTATTTTATATATGCTGCTTTAACTTCGGAACTTTGTTAGTGCGATTTAGGTTTCGATGTGTTTCACTTGTGGCGCGACGACAGCGCCGCCACACTGGTTCTTGGTTCTTTGGGTGTGGTTTTGGAATCCGTTGAAAGTATATTGCTATAATTTTTTCGGGATTCACTTTAATTCTCCATTGGCGGAACCATTTGCTTAAGTGATTGGTAGCTGTTTGAAGTTTTAAACTGAGACTATACTTGTTATAATCTGATACAAAGAGAGCCGTATCGTCGGCAACCGATACCATATCTATCTCACTACTGGGCACGGGCTGCTGTGCAAGGCCTCCTCTTATAACAGGAGTATGAAGGTTTCCGCCTTAATACATGTTGACGGCCTTTAGGTGACCTCGAAAATATTTACTTTTAAATTCTCAGACAAGCAGGTTTCCTCACGATGTTTTCCTTAACTGCCGAGCACGTGGTAAATTAACACTCCAATTCAAAAATTCCAATTTAAATTTCTACGGTGCCGATGAGAATCAAACTGGAGTCGTCTAATTATTATTCGATTCAAGGTCAACGCGTAACCTTAGAAATACGCATGAGAAACATGCGTTAAATTGAAGGAGATTGTTACGGCCCACAGCTGCCCCTGCAAAGGTTGCCTTGGCCCATAGTAGCCTCCTCGACGGATAGCCGAGGTTCCGGGCCCAAATGGCCTTATGGAAAAATTACTTATCATACTACACAATAGGGAGAAGGCTAGGAATAAAATAAACGGTACGTACCTGGATCCGAATCTAAGACCGCCCCAAGGCTCGGTCAGGCCGTAGGTAGAGTAGAGCATGTAAAGTAGTGTTTAGTGGTGTGTATATGTAGGTGCCCTGGCCCAGCTGAGGTGACCTGTCAGTGGACGGTTTCCGTGCTGCCTACCAATGCTGCATCACTCCAGCAGGCGTCTCCAATTGGCTATTTCTTTCTTCATTTCACTATTTCAGTCTATCCACTTTATTGTACATTTAACTAACTTCAACTCGACTATTTCAACGTTCATCGTAGAATCAAACACGTGATACTCGACACAAGTAACGGACAGTACTTCAAAGTTCAACATTCAATATCCCGGATTCATTTATCACCAAATTACAAATAGGGAACTAACGCGATCTCTTCATGAGTCACACGATTCAGCGTTACAAACACAAATAAGCTCCTTCGTTCGGTATTAAACACCACGCCGTAATAAGAATTCAAAATCAACCTAGCTGTCCTATTGTAAACTAGCTACCGAGTCAACACACAAAAGGCTCTTAAGGCGACGGTATAATTAAACGATGATTTCGTAATAATAACGATAATTGATGAATCAACCGGGAGACGGCCCTTGAAAAGGAATGCGC